TTCTAATGTTTTAAACAGCAAAAGCAATTAGGCAGATGGAGAAAATGGTGGTTCCAAGACACTCCAAGGMATACATGTACTGCCAGGTGGCAAAATAAATTAGATGGGCTACTGCTATATCTAGTCCATTTACATGAAAGAAAKCATGCATGCTTACATCCTGTGTGAAAGGATGAGATGAAAATGCAAAATTTAGTAGAGTGCTAATTTGATAAAGCCTTCTATTAACTTGATCTTACTCTTGGGAAAAGTCATGTTAACCTTGGACTCTAGATCTATCAGCTAGTGAAATAAAGGTTTTAAGGATAGGTCACTTGGACACTTTCTAATCTATCAGACTGGGATTTTGTATTTTACTCTTGGAACAGCATTTTCTCAGGTCTTTTATCTGTAGCATCCAAAAAGTGCAGACTTCTTTTTTGCTTGAAAATACTGAGAGAGGAGAATTGCGCTTCCTCTGGAAACCACAAGAATTGTATTTCTGGTAGCTTTGCAGTTAGTTCCTGCCACATCAGCAAATACGTATCTGTATTTTGGTGTTTTTTTCACCCTTAAGCTAGGAGTAAGGAATAACCGCTTCTTTCTCTCTCTCCCCCTCTCTCTGATATTTTCTTGCTATTCTGGCTAAAGGTTCAGGTCAGTTCATATTTCATCACAGATAGTTGGCTCTGTTCAAATATCCCAGTGAGTCTGAGGTCTAAGGGATCTTTAACTCAGAATGAACCTTCTGTGTTTGGAGGGGGAAGGGATATAGTTACCAAGATACCATACTTTTATTTTGTGTATTATGAGCAATTGCAAATATGTTGGTGGAGCTGGAGATTTAAAGAGGTCCCTGGGGTAGAATAAAGAAATGTGAAGGAGCTGGTGAGGTGGTCTTAAACCTGCCAACTCTTTCAAAGACATATGTGTGCATGTGTGTACATCACATGTTTTTAATTTTGAAGGGGTGACAGTTTCTAAGCAAATCTAGCTGCATTTTTACCACACTGACATTACAATGAGTTAAGATGGCTAAATTTAGTCATCCAAACTGAAAAATGTTGAATTACAAGGCTGCATCCATTTCAGTCCAAAAACTAATTGCATACTTCCAWGGTTGCAGTTGAGTCAGCTGTAGGATAAGGCTACTATAGAACAACCAAATACTTCCTGGAATCCTGTCTTGGCACCAGGCTGCTGCAGTGGATTTTGATTTTTAACAGAAGAAAAWGAAAAAATCTAACCTGGGAGGGGGATGTCTCCTTTCTACCCTGAAAAAATAAATTGCACAGTAGAGTATTTCACAGAAGGGGTCAAATCATAAAAGAATTGATCAACAAGATCCTAACCAAATATTTTGACTTCAGGATGATGTTCTTTAAGGGCCTGAAATCTGTTTGCATGTGCGTCTGTGTACATATACCTGTTCACATAGGCCTACCTTTTATCCTTACCTTCCCGCTCATTACTCTAACAAAGTCTTTCTAGTGCAGCCTTCAAGCAAACACCAAAAAACCTTTAACCTGGATAGGAGATAACACATTTCTGCTTCTGAACAGACTAATAAATGCAACAGCTATTAAAYGTTCATTCAGTGTTAAATGTAGTCAATTATTCCTTCTTTGGCATTTCTAAAAAGAACTGGAAGTGACACTAAGTCTGAGCAAGGYTGGAAATACATGCAAGGAATGCACAGAAGCTGAGACACATGTAACACATTAATGAGGGACAAGTGGGTTCTGATCTTTACAGATCCTTTCCTTGCCAGACTGCAARTGGGTATCTTCTTTAAGCATGTATCTTGAGCTCAGAGGATGTATTGGAAGGTCAATGGCTCACCATGTGTCTCCACTTTCCGCTGCAGAGCTTTCACTCTGATTCTCGKCTGTGCACAAAGAGTACATGATATTTCTTGGGCAGGTTATAAAAGAAAACAAACTATGTTGGATAGATCCCAAGCCAGACAATCTGAGATCAGGCTCCTGGTGGAATGACAAACATCAAGACAGGATGTCCTCCAGCCTCATTGTTGAAATATATGCACTTTAAAAGCAAACAACCTTTGGCATTGCACGTGAGATGCAGGCAGGACAGCATCCTCCAGGTTGCTGCAGGCAACAGCTTCCTGTAACCACCAATAACATGAAGAAAATGTGTCACCGCTTCTTGGACTTCAGCAAACGCTGCATGCACAATGGGCTGRATTTCCCAAGTCAGGATTTTGCATCACTTTGTCTCAACTACTCTTCATCAGAGCTCATATCTCTACAAGCAAAGCCACGTGGTCATGTCACCTTCTCTTACCAGCTGCATGTTACAGCATCCTCCTTGAAAACCCTCTGTGGTCCCTGTATTGCCTCATGCCAAAAGCATTTCTCCCTTGGGGRCAGGGTAGAGAAGCTTAAAAGACTGAGTCCTAACTGCCTATTTCTAGCGTTTCAGGCAGAGATTTGTGCCTAGCAGAGCCCTACCCTTGCAAGATAAATGGAGGCTGTCATGATGCGATTCGTGGCTTTTTGCAAGAACCTTCTGCAGGTTTTTGCATGTGCTTCAGAGAGGGTGAATGTGGCTTCACTGAGTGGAAGAGGCCAGGAAGGTCACCATGCTTTGATGTAAAGGTGCTGCAGCAAGAACTTGTCCTGTGCTGAGCAAAATGAAGAACTTGTGTCTGTGCATGTCTTCAGTTAGCTCTAGTGACTTGGGCAGAGCAGTGATTAGAGAGGGCATTAATTAAATTTTTCTTACGGTGGAATTCTCTTTGAATGTGTTGTTTCACTGACAGTATTCCTGCTAGGATAATGCAAGGTTCTAGGATTACATTTGTAGTTGTCACGCAAGCAGAGAGCAGAGTCGATAATTGTATTACTCAATAACGGTTCCCTCCTGAGTACACACTTGGTAGGGACTTGCAGTAAACTCCCATCTGGCCAAAAGAATTAATTTCCGCCTTTCCTGTGTGGGGATTCTGCTTTTTGTCAGTGTCACCTGTTTCTCAAGAACTCTTATTTATAGTGACCAGACTTAAATAAATAAATAAACAAACCATGTACTCCTTGCTTTTTGTTGCAGACCCTACACATCAAGGGTTTGTTCTTTCTCTGAGAGAAATTACGGTCCTCAGGAAGCAAACGCTGGTGTTTTTTGGGAGATTTCTGAAGTTTGTAGTCACTTGTGACCACATCTGTTCAAACACAGCACAGCTTTAAGCTTAAGTGAAACTCTCAACCTCTGTATGACTGCATGAGGGTTTTGTTGCAAGCATGCATCTTTGGAGGGCAGAACAACCTTAGTTGTTGGTCAGGACTAGCACAAGGTCCAGCCTTGCATTCTTTAGCCCTATATATCCTGATGCAGAGATACTGCAACCAACCTGCAGCCCTGGAGCTCACAGGGGAACCAAAGGCACCTGAGCTCAACTCCTCAAACACGCACAGAGCCTGSTAGGTATTTCAGTCCAAACGATGATGGATTCCAGTGAAAATGAAGGCAGAAAAGGGAACCAATCTACTCTGAGAGCAGGGTAAGAGATTTATAGGGGAATGCACTTACTCATTCATCACTTTGATGATTAATCACCCAGGATCCACTGAGCTGACGTTGGATCTCCTGCAGCCTGCTGCTTTTCACCATTAAAAGGTCAATTGTTGAAGTCTCTGGTAGTAGAGGTGCGGCTGTTAATGCCTCCARACTGCTTCTTGGCATCTAAAGGAGTACATCTAGATCAGTTCCCATGCTCTTCCAAATAAATTCCCAACTCTCAATCCTTACTACTTTAAGGAATTTGGGGCCAATCTACAACCCTTCTACAGCCAGAAGTACCCTTCAATAGCAGCAGTTGTGGTGCATATTCTGGCTCCAAAAGTGGATGCATTTTTAAGTGAAAATTTAGCATTATTCACTGCTACTTCCTATGTCAATATTGTTATTAAAAACAAGCTCGAGAGACTAGCATGAAGCCAAGGCAAGTCTGCTCAGGCATGCTAGCACATAGGGAAGGAACACAAGGAAAGTCAGAAGGGCCCTTTCTTTTCTTCCAAATGCAGYAGTTACCCTCTGCCTAAGGGAAGGGAGAACATACAGACCTGAAACTAGCCAGATTCCAGTAAATTCAAGCAATAACAAATGTGTCTAATTTTGATGTGAATTAGCAGATGAGTTAGGATCCCTAGATTCTTAAACTGAAACAAGTTTTGCTGTTTTCAATAGGATATTTACCACGAATTAGCTAATTCAGTTTAAAAGCATTTTTTTTCACTCCCCAAAGGAACGACTCTGTAAGTTTATATTTATTTTGGTACTACATATTGAGCGATAGATTTAATCAAAAATTAGAGTCTTCAAATGATGTAGGCACATGAATATAGTTTCTTTTTCATGTGAGCCATAGTCTAGCCCAGGCACTTTCAATGTGAAGCCTATCCTTTATTCTATTAAAATTGCTATTAAAATTGATTTAAATTATTCCTTCAAAAAGTCARACATTGCTTTCAGCCTGGAAAACAAAATACAGTTTTTACATCCATTACTGTTTTGGTCCTTTTCTATTTCCATCTATCCTGAAACACTCAGAATCTGTAAAGCACCTGCTAGAAAACAAAGTTCATGCCTTGCAAGCAGGACTTGGTTTTTGTTTGTATTTAAGGACTTTTCGCATTTGTCATTACATTTTTTTTTTCTTTCCATTTCAATATGAGCCAAGGGGTGGGACCAAGAGAAAAAAATAATCCTAGAGTATTTTGATCTTTGTGGCTTTATGTGGACTTCATAAACTTTGTTTGTTGTCCTGCCAAGCTTCCTTTGTGTTTAAATAGATAACAGACCAAGACAACTAATCATTTCCAATTTAAAAAAAGAAAAAAGGACACACATACACACACACTCTTTCTTTTCTACTTAATGCTAGCAAACATATGCTCCTAGATAGCGCTTGTAACCCAAGTACTTCCAACTTTTTTCCCCCTTTTCAGGAACAATTGCCCAAGGTACCCACAGCACTCTGGGCTCTCCAAATTTAGGAMTCTTCAACAAAGGCTCTAAGAGTATCTCTGGGCAAAGGTAATCTGAATTCTGATGCATGGAAAACACCTTCTGCACCCCTAGAGAACAAGTGATGGGTGGTTTATGGAACCATTTACAGATTTTGTGTGTATGCAGGACTAGGAATAAGCAAGCATGCCTCAGCCAAAAGCTGATCAGTAGAAGAGGAGAATTATGATTTTGCTAGATTATATTTAGGGAGGGGGTGAGGATCGATCATTCAATATCTACTTCCACCTTCTCTAGCAGTGATTGACTATATTAGAGGTTAATGCTCCAAAGGATAGAAGTAGATAGTCTCAAGAAACAGAAGTTCACGGAGCCTGTAGAAGTCTTATCTTATACTAGTCACTGAAGAGAAAGTAAAGAAAATGGTATGACCCTGCAGTAGGTCCAGCAGGCTACGTCCTGTATTCGCAAATATTGCTAATTCATCTCCAGTAACGTGCAAGTTTGTTTGTTTTCCAGGTATACTACTCCTGTGGTGCAGTGGTGGAATCAATGGAGAAAGGTCTGATTTTATCACCAGGTTTTCCAAACAACTACTACCCAGGGACACACTGTGTATGGCAATTTTTCATTCCTATGAGAACTCATCTTATCTTGGAAATTTTTGATTTTGACATTTTTGAGAGCACTAGCGAAACTCCAAACCCTTGGGATGACTTTTCAGCTCCCGCTAAAGCAAGGGATAAAGACATGCCTCCTCCCGAGGAAAATTTGGATTTCGCTCTCACTACTTCAAAGTCCTCTCTCCAGACCTGGTTGTCAAAGATGTCTCAGAATCTGAGCAGCACAGGAGATCGATCGAAGGACCTTGATAGTCACTTGGATGATCTTACAGGAACCATCTCAAAAAAAGAGGCAACCAAACAAGCATCTGAAGAAAACCAGTATAAGCAGCTGAAGGACCCCAAAACAATTACCAAGGCTCAGCCTGAGGAACTGCCATTCCCTGTGCCTGGTGGTGCCACGATGCACAGACAGAATATCAGTGGCCTAGAAACAGAAGAGCTGAAAGGGAAAATCTTGCTTGCCCATCTTGCTGCTAGCGAGCAAGATGAAGTTACTGGAGAGAGCTGGACACTTCCCACAACAGTACTGCCGCTGGAAGCCTCCTCCACCCCACAGGCAGCTGTGGACATCTGTCCCCACGATGTTTTGTACGTTTCTGATCTCATCACATTTTCCTCACGCTTTTGCGGATCAAATACACCTCTACACAAGCCCATGGTCTTTGGTTCGTCTCTGGAAATGGTCGAGGTTATCATGGAGCTGATCACAACCACAGACCGTGGACGAGGCTTTGCAATGCTCTTTGAGTACAAGAACATCACTGAACCTGAACCTGTGGATGCGGTGAGGCAGGAGAGAAAGGAAAACGTGATGATGCTGGCAATTATAACAGGGATTGTCATCTTGGCCTTTGCTCTGTTCTCTGCCCTCTGCGTAGCTTGCAGGTAAGAGGATACCTATCTGAGCCTTTGAAGCATATATCAGTATAGGACAGGAATCGCTGTGTTTCTTTGCTCTGCTAATGCCTGCAGTTTAAATATAGTAGTATGTGGATATGGAGCGAATCCTGTGCCAATTATGATTCCTACTATCTCCTATACTCCTAAGTCTTCTTTTCTAGTTGCACTGTTTCTTTTTCTCCAATCTATTTTTCTTTTCCTGAAGAAACATTTGAAGGTTGATGAACCCAAAGGATGAGGACTTTGTTGGACATTTACTTCAAGAGCAGCAGTGCCTTTGAGCCTTAGTTCTGGGACAATTTAGTTGGCCATTGAACAAAAATGCAGAACAGGATGATGGCCCTTCCCTGAGTGTCCCACATAGTTTTACCATTCACCACTTCTCTGCGCATTCTGCACAATTCCATATTTTGGCTCTAACCATCACTCATACTCTGTGAAAAAAGTAAGTAATAATAAAGAATATCAGTGCTGGAAATTATAATGTGGTTAAAATATTAAAATGTGTCACAGAAGACAATATCATTTATCCAAGAGCTTGCACAGACATTCAAATGCACCTCCTGCAGTAGGTGGTTATCAGCTCCTGCTTCTCAGAAGCAGGTAAGCTGGGACAGAACCAAGTCAGGACCAATGGCCCACCCCAGTGGCACCTCTTGCTCAGACCAACACCAAACAGCAGCACTGGTGGTCACCACCCGATAGGCAATGAGCTGGCCAAGCGAGCTGACTGCCAAGCCGGGCTTTCCATTGCCAAGCCCTGGTGCTAACCAGTTAAGAGCTAAAGCTTCCTTTCCCACTCAATAGCTTCYTTTTCTCCAAGTCTTTCAGGAGAAAGATTTTTCCCCACAGCGTATGTCTGGATTTTTCCTACTAATTCCGTAGCAGAAACATTTTTGTAGAAACAGTTCAGGTTTTTTTACTTTTCTCCTGACAAATTCCAAACAAAACCCAAGCTCCCCAGGTTTCTGTCAAAACAAACAGCTCTTCTCAAGTGTTTTGACTTCACTGGAAGCATCAGTTAAAGTGAAACAAAAGCTTTTCCTTGCAGGGCTCTGTTATGGTGATCCGATGTCACCACTAGCCTTCATTTCCCAGCAGCAGCATTCAGCTGCTCCTGCATCCCCTGCCTCCTTTCTTGTGCAGCTTCCAACGCCACAGGAAGCCAGCACACGTGCCACAGCCTCCCTCAGTGCCTGGCCTTKGGCTTCCCTGGCTTTGGCCACAGGGCAAGGAGCTGAATGACCGTGYAAATGCAGGCTGGACTAAACATAGTCTCATCAGCCTTTGTTCCAGCATCACCCAAGTAGACCAAACTGGGGAAAAATTACTAATGTCTGTGGAGTTCAACATCTCATGAAGTTTCAGAGTTATCCAGCAACTCCAAGTAACTGGAGAAGTTTTGATAAAGGAACTTTGTTTTCCTTGGCCTTTTGGAGGTTAYATTCCTAGGTTTGCTGGATAGATACGAAGTTTAGGCTGTCACTGTAATGGGTGTTAGAAGATGAGCATGTTTGTAAGGCTTAAAGTCCTTTGCTTCACACGGAAACTCCTGCTTTCATTGTCCAGCCTTTGCACTGCTGTAAGAGTTAAACTTACATGCACCACATCTAACTAACCTTTTCCTTTTCAAAAGGGCTTACAGAACACTAATTTAGACCACAATTTTTGCTAGCTCCAAGGGAAAATGTCTGGTGGAAAATCTCTTCCAGATACTAAATATTTTATTTTTACAACCTTGCCAAWCTTCAGAAGAGACAGAAACATGTTCCCTTTGCTATGGCAGCAGTCTGGGCTGATACACAGGCTATTCTTACTCCATTATCCCTATTTAATTTCAGCATAGCTATCCATGAAGTGGAATATTATTTAGACAAAATAGAAGAGCATACAGCCAATCTGAGATTTCGCTGCTTGAATCTTACTCTATGTAGAAGGTTTAGAAAGCCAGGCCATGCTGATCACATGTAAAGTTTGACTTGTGCTTCCCAGATGTTTACAAAATGTTCATCTGTTGCCTACTCACAGAGAAAATCTAATTCTTTCCCCCATCACAAGTGTTGGCATGACCTTGTCACTGGAAATACTTCCTACCAGGGTTACTGTGGCACAGGACCAGGGTTAGGCTCCCCTCTTGCCACATTGGTACTTAGGCCTTTTCATTGCTACATGACTTTTCATTAATATATATATATATGTATGTGTGTGTGTGTATATATATATATAGTAATCAGATGCTGTCTACACAGGAAGGGAGATCCCAGCTGCCTGTAATCCCAACATGCATTTTCAGGGAGGCCTTGATCACAATACATATTTACTTTTTGTTAGATTTTTAAAGCAATGAGATTTGAAGCATATGAGAGTGATGCCAAGATCTGTGCCAAGCAAACCCACTTGCATTGTGCTGGAAGATTCCCCCCATCCCTTTATCAATGCAACTGCTTTGAAGATATTGGTCCTTGGCCTCTTCTATCAGCTCACCAACGCTTTTCAGCTGCAATTTCCTTATGTGGTTTCAAAGAAGATTGCAGAAGCCATTAAACATTCTTAAGAACTTCTAGTTTGACTCTACCATGTTCTAAATAAGGACTTCAATTTAGGTGTCAAAAGCATACTAGTTGCAACTTGAACTCACTGCAGGAAACATCAGGCCTGCAAGGGAGTGGTTTGAGGGCAGAAGCGAAGATACTTCAMTAAACCAGCATGCTCAGAGATGGGACCAGTTCACCAAGGCATGATAACACTTGCCCTGGCTAGAATGTGCTATTGCAAAGAAAAACATACCAGAAGATGTCAGAGCAACCTCCAAGCTCTTGGCTTTAGAAACTTGCATCCCACTTCATATCCTCTTCCTACTCTGACTGCTTCTCTGGTACCAGGTTGRAATTCAGCTGTATTTTTCACCATTTTTAGCTGCTGCTGCTGCTCAGCTAAAAGTAGCAGGTTCAGCCTTGMCAGGGGTAGGAATGGCCCAGGACAGGCTTGGCACTTACTGCCACTCTAATGCACCAAATCGTCAGTAGTGTCTGCTTGGGCTCATTGCATTCAGCCAGGGCGAAGCTCTCTGGGGAAACTCCAAGTCTCTGCCACACTRCAGCTTTTGTTTGCTGTTTGGGGAGGGAATGAAAGCTTCAGTTGTTAGTTGGCCAATAATTCTAATTACTTTTGGCCATGAGGCCTGGCTCAAGTTATGGAGTATTTTTTATTTTCTTTCCCAAGCCCCCAAGAACAAGAGATGTCCACCTTTCTAAATTTTAATCCTATCCAGTATAGGCAGACTTTTGCTCAGTGGTTGCGACCCACAAGTTGCAGCTGCGCTTTATATCTGCCTATGCTGCCAGTGACCTGTTCCCAACCACAACCTTGCACGTACAGCTACTTCATCAAGTCATCAACCRCTGCCATTTTACCCCATACTAGCTGCACTGTCACTACCTGCAGCCTTATATTTGCCTGGTGCTGTCACACATTGGTTCCTGACAGGCAAATAATTCCATATTCTCTGTCTTTAAAGCCTCTTTGTTACCTGCATATTGCAGATATGAAACATGAGGAAGAGGAATCCAATTGCCAAAGCAGGCTATAGAGTAATAGCCAAGAAGAGGTGGTAAGAAATGAGCGTACTTATATTTTTTGGACTCGCCCATACTATTTCTCCCATGAATGTACATTGAGCTGCACTGAAATGTTCCTATGCTACCAGTTTTTCCCCCACCAAGGCCCATTCTGGGCACTTTTGGGAAACAGCGTGGTCAGGGGCTAACCACAGCTCATCATCTTCTTGTTTCATTAGTTTTCCTTCTAGCTCATTTGGTCAAAGAGCAATATGTCTTTTAAAATAGTTGTGGTGCCAGTTAATGATTACAGGGCACAATATCTAGGGAGACTAGCAAGAAGAATCAGACAACTGCAAGGGATTGCAGTTTCTAAATGCCAAAGCTGACTTGCCTACTGAAGTTAATACCAGTCGTCCGTTGCTGAGATTTCTGTAATGGATAATATCATCTATTGCAGCTTTACCCCAGAGAACAGAAATATCCCAGAAAAGGGACAGCTGTATGCAAGACCTGGAAGAATACATTTCTACCTGAATTTCTTAGAACTTGAACATTTAGCCTGTTAAACCACGCTGAAAGTTTAAATAACGAGCCCCAACATGAAGACCATGCTGATAGCTAGCACAGACTTGTTGATGCCAAATGCTCATTGTGGAAGAACTGTCCTAAGCTTTGTTTGCTTGAAGGAGAATATTTCCTTTATGCTCTTTAATCCCTGGGTGGGTAGATTTCAACAGATTTGTCTGTAGCATGCAAGTTATTTGAAACAAGAAATCTTCATAGGAATGTACCAGATTTGATTAAATTTTCATCATGGGCTTTGGCAGGGAAGGGATGGATAGAGAGATGAAGGAATGCAACTCATAGAAAGCAGGAAATTGAACCCAGTTCTCCCACTCCCTACATCAATACCTTGACCACTAGACTGCTCATTTCAGGGATTTTTTTGCTAGTCTCTTGCTGATGTGGTTCTGGTGCAYGATAGAGCTTCTGGGAAGTGGCAGGAAGGCTTTAGCCTTGAGTACACCTCAGAGGCCCAAGTGGTGACTGATGCGTTTTTTGCATCATGAAGCAACTGCCTACCTGGAGCTCTATGGAATTAAGTTCTTAAATGCAAACCTGTGCTCTCCTCCTCTGTGGTTTCCTCTGTGCTYGTTGGGAGCAATCCTGCTGGTGCTTCATGGGTTCCTTCTCCCTCAGCATTGTCACTAGGCAATAACCTTTCTAAGCAATCTGATGCTACGGTGAGGAGCAGAACTCGCCATGGCTGAAGCTGCACAGATGCCAGCTTGTGGCCAGCTTCACCAAGTGCCCTCTAAGCCTCTATTCCTGACAGGGAACAGTGATGAAATAGTGATTGAAAACTTGAAACCCTGACGTTGACACAGGACGCTACACATACACACACAAAAACAGGTCTGGAGGAGGTTAAATGCCTTAAAGCAAACAAATCCTTCCAACAAGAGGAGGAAAAATGCCAGCCAGGAACACTAGTATGGCACATGACCACTATTTCTATTTTTCCTGCTGTCTGGTCAGTGCCTTTACACTCCCACATGTTTCTCTGCAGTCCCTTGTAGGACTACTGCATGCCAGGAATAAAATCCTCTTACTTCAGCCATTATCTTGTTCATCAGCACCTGCCTTTCCTCATGACATCTTTATAATGTCTTCTTCTAAAGTGTAATTAGTGCTAGTTGTTCCATAGAGTCAGTTTTAGAAAAACAGCTTAAGATTCTGCTTTTGTTTCCTTCCAGCCCAAGAGGCACGTTCATTTGGGAATCCTCTGACATAGTCTTTTCCTTTAATAGATTGCTCATAGAAGTGAGCAGCATTTGATACTCTTGGCTAGCTAAAAATAATCCAGCATGCAACACTGGCTACACAGATGAAGAATTCTGTGTAATGGGATAAGAACAATGTCACTGCCCAGGCCAAAGGGGGAACTTCAGTCCTGCTATTTATTACTGAAGGAAGAGAGCAGCCTGCCAGGGAAGAAGGCTCCTAGGGCTTTGGAGATACCCCAATTCCAACCCTGTTTTTGCACCAATCACAGGAGGAACGTGGACCCTCTTCTTCAGCTGGCTTTCCATTACACGAGCATACTATTTTTCCCCTTGACCTACAGGTCTTGGTGGTCCAACTTTTAGCAAATGTTTTGGATTCTCCTGTAGGTAGAGCAGCTCTTCACCTGCTGGGTGCCATTCATAGGATRAGTGCAGATGAGACCTTCCCTTCTGTGCATCTTTAACTCGTTCATGGGCATGTTGTTGCTGTCTCTCCTTTTCAGGCAGAGAACGTGCCCCAAAAGGAGCTYGCCCAGCGCACACAGCGACCAGGAGGTTAGTGCTAACAGCTTCAGCAATTTCTGTTTCTCTTTCACATTGGCTTTTGCACTGCTTATCTGACCATGTTTACTGGGGCATGTTCTGAGTTGTAGACTGGGATCCAGAACTCTGCTGCCGATGTCAACGAGCTCCAGCTCGTGGTGCCAAGTCGGGAGAATGAAAACAACAACCACTCTGTGAGCCGGGAGCAAGCGGGTGAGCGCGGCGCGAGCCAGGCAGGGCATCCCAGGGCCTGTTCAGCAGAGTTTCCTCCTTGCTCTCCTCCTCCCTGCCTTGCCCATGCACAGCTGGGGAACATTTCCCAGCAGAAAGCCTCTGTTGTGGGAACTGTCCCTTGCTTCTCTCAGCCAAATTAGCACTGGGAGGTAATTCCCCTGGCAAGGAGCACGCGCAGGCACCGCTTCAGGACCCTGCCAACAAAAGCTGTCATAGCACATGACACTGCAGAGACACTGGGTTAGCAGAGCGAGCGCGTCTGGTTCAGGCTGCTGCAGACACAACGAAGCCATAAATTATGGAAGAGTTTCTCCTGCCCTGTGTCTAACCTTGGTTGGAAAGAGTAAGTTTTACAAGGCCTCTATAGAGTCGGGACAACCGCAGTTCCTGGAGCTAACTTTTCTGAAGGATGTTGTAAATGAGACTACTTTAGATGACTTTTACTTCACAGTAGGTTTCTACAAGTATAGGAGGATTCCCAAGGTAACATCACGTGCTGCAATTTTGAGCCATAACACATGAATTATCTATCAATGCTCCTTCTGGCTGATGAAGCCARCAAGGAGATACTTTCTGTTGTGCTGCTAGATACCACCAATTTCCCACTAAACCATCGGCCGTTAGACATAGCTCCTAAAGATGTCAACCTTAACAGTTTGGTATCTCCTTTGAAAAGGTCCTTGAAGAGTTTGTGGCCAAATCTGCAAGTTCCTGATCCGCAGGATCACAATCTGTGTTTAGAATGATGGATTTCAGTTTGGGTCTGTCTTTATTAGAAAGCAGACTAAAGGATTTTGTTTTGTTTTTAAAAGCTTGCAGTTTCAGCAAAGCCAACTGCTGACTTGAATTCTGTTCTGATCGGTGTGACAGCCAAAAGCTGTTCTAGGTTATCTGAGGAGAGAGAAAGCCACGGGGGAGAGGGTTTGTTGGGGATAAGTTGGAAGAGTTCAAATCATCTGTTCCCAAGGTTTGATTGATGCTTGTCTCTCAGTCACTTCCTGTGGAGGCAGCACAGAACCATCTCCTCAGGACACCGATCCGGACATGCCCTCCTCTACATCCGCGGTGACCACCGAGACCGGGAGCGATGAAGTGTTTATTATATCTGCTGGACCTGGGGCCAGTGGGCTGAGCTTTACCACTTACAGAATACAGGTAGGAAAACTTCTGACCATCTCTGGGAGTCCAGCAAGCCACAGGATGTCCCTTTTGGACTGCCCCTGCCACATCCCTCTGTGCTTGCCGCCCACTTTACAACAGCGCTAGCAATTGAGCTGGACAGTTCCTCCTAGACCCCAGACAGAGCTGCCATCAGATTACATGGGCTGTGGTTCCCACCAAAAGCCAGGATCCTCCTGGCCAAGAGGAGCAATCCAGAACTGGTACCTGGATTTTAGGGATCCAGTTCTATCAACAGACTATAGGATTAGTCCACAAAAAAACTATTAAATGGCAAAGATGTTCCTTTAAAAGCATGACCTGTGGTGACTGAAGGACCTGGAAGTCAGAACTCCCCAAGCTGTTCCTGCCTGTCCCTGCCACATGGGAAGGAAAGTTGCTCATCTTCTCAGTGTGTTAGGAAAACATTATAGCTTTTCCCCCATGCCCTCCTGACCAGTTATTTATTTGAAACTGCCTTTTGATGCACATTTGGAAATTTTACATCTGGTTACTATCTATTCAAAATTAAGATTAGTGAGTAGCAGAACACATCCATTTCAAGTCTATATTAAAGTCTTTCCCTGATCAATACTCTTGAGAACTTCTTGACTGTCTTCTCTGTCTTTCTCCCACAGAAGGAAACACAGCAACCAGTGCAAGAACCCAGTTTCCTTTCTCTCTCTTATTCCCCTCTCTKACATCAAAGTAGCCAAACATAATAAAATAAAACATCACTAATTTGCTGACCCTGCCATAAGCAAAACACAAGAAAATAAATATACATATATAAGGCTGAAATAATTCCAAATAGTGTAAAGGATTAAAGTGATTTACCTCATTATTYCCCAGTCCAAGATACAGACCAGCACCTCCCAAACAAACCACTTCAAGGGCAAAAGACCTACCCAGGCAGGAAGGCCACYTTTTAAAGCACTAGGTCTTTCAGCACAACTGCAGACTATCCTATCTGAGTAGGGTGGGAAGTGCAGGCCATTCGCAGGTGTTCTCTTAGCATCTCATCAGGCTACTTGGGTTACTTGGTGTTTCTGGATGTTAGAAATAATTTGATTTATATTAGTGTCTATATTTGTTTTTTTTGGCATGTAAAATACATGTGTGGAGAGGTGAGCCAGCTCCTAAGCTTAGTCTGCGAGCTGTGTGGAGGGTATGATATGTAGCTCCTGTGGCCCAGCTGAGGAAAGCAGGAGGAGAAAATAGCTACTTTCTTGGCAGGAGCTAAGAATTTTTTCCCATGYGTAAAGAGGTGTGGAATCTTGAGCCTTTATATGCTGCTTTAATAAAATCACTATCCAAAACTTTGTACTGAGAAATGGTGGCTCTCAGCTTGGTCTTGTCCATCCCAGTAAGCGTGAGGTCAGTTCTGTTGGGCAGGGGCCACCATGACAAATTTCAAGGGCCTGACACTGAAGGATAATGGAGAATTAGGAGGAAGGATTGAAAAACATTTTTTGCTCGAACTTTTTTGAAAATCTAGAAAATACATTATTCATCTTAGTGACTAAAGAATGTCTCAAACCTAATGGCTTTCACACCAGTTTGGAGACATTTATAATAATATTATAAYAACAAATCTTAAGACAGACTGAAGGGGCTTCTGAGAAGATGATGGCTAGGTTATAAATAAAGATTTTTACTTTAATCAAATCTGAGACAAGATTTTACTACTCAGACAAACTTATCCAGAGCCTGACTACAGTTTCTCCTGGCTTCTTGCTGAGAATTTTATTCTGTGGAAATAGCTAATTTCTTGTCTCTCTGCCCATCCTTTTCCACTGCAATGCTTTAACTAAATATTTCCTTTGATTTTCAGAATTTGACAGCTTTTATTTATCAGGAATAACAAAGGAAAACTTTCTGGTTTCCTAAGATATTTAAATCCAGGGCACACTGTGGCATTTATTTCAGACTATCTTTAAGGACTATTAAAGCTTTGGGAATGCAAATTTTGCATTCTTCTCATGACAACTGTAGTCACACAGCTGAAAATTATAAATACGTATAGAGCTGTGGGACAGAAGGCTTATACAAATAACAGGCGAAGTCTTAGTGTAAATGAAAGATTTGTAGGACAATGTGGGATTCTTTAACTTTCCTGTCTCTAAAACCACATCAATGCTAAGAATCATAACTATGATTCTAAGTACAATGTCAGAACATAAAAATAAGGACAGAAGAGATCTGTAGAAGTTATCTATAGTTCATTCCTGTATCAGATCCACTCTGCTAATAGAGACAGCTGCTAAGAATGGTTTAATGGGGTCTCCTCTCCACTTTCACCTCTGCCAATTGTACATCTGTCTAGATGTCTTGCTCTACTGCCAAAACATCTTTTCCACCTGAGAAATACCTCTTAACAAAAGAAGAAAATCTCTTTATTTCCTATGTGGGCCTTGTACCTCTTATTCTGTCCGTCATAAACATAGTAAACATTATTCCCTCCCTCTTTGTCTTTTACTTCTTCCCTAAGCTAGACTAAATGCTACAAATCACTTCAGCCTCCTGAATGATGCTTTTCTATGTTTTAGATTGCTGATCCTCATGCTCCTCTCTTCTAGATCTTTTTTCTACAGGCCTCATCCTTCTCCAAATGTTGTTTCCCCCAAAAAAATACAGCTGCAGCTTTGCCAGAGCCGAGCAGAACTGTGTTTCACAGTGAAGTTTGCTGCTCTAATCCTGTCAGATATATCCGCCGTGACAAAGCTGTAGGTGTTTGAGGTATTTGGTTAGTGAGAAGGGTAGGATTTTGTTTCTTATATAATTGAAAATTCCCAAGATAAACAGGTAGAATCTCCACTCCCATGACTTGAAAAAGCAGCACTGAGCAAATCAGTCACTGCCATTCGTAGCATTATTTTTTAACTGTTTTTAAAACCTTTTGATGAAAGCTGTTAACAAATGTCGCTATTTCCAGGACAAAAACCTAAAAAGAAGCGTCACAAGCCCAGCCTCCGTGTCTGACTGGCTGACTTGTAATCACCCGGCTCCCGGAGCAGACGCTGGGGAGAAGGGGCACGTCCAGGTGGAAAACCACTACCCCAGGCAACGGACGTGGAGTGCCCGCACTTTCCATGACTTCCTGGCTCCCATACCACAGCTCCAGAAAAAATGGTGTAGCTGGACTACCAACAGCCCCTTCACAAAGCTGGTCGACAGCAGCGTAAGTGCGAGGAGGGATTCAGCTCCGTGTCCCTCATGCCCCAAGTTTTTGCAGGTGGGAGGCATTCGCCCCTTTCACCTAGGGATTTGCCTCTACAAACAGGCTACACGTTGTGGCCCATCTTGCTTGGCATCCAGGAAACTCTTTTTTTTTAAGTATATTGTAATTTATTTGGGCTTTCCTGAAGTGCTAAAGCRCTTTGCACAGTCCTGAAGCGCCGCATCTCCCAGCAGTTAGTGTCTGGTTGAGAAATGATCAACTAGATAGAAAAACATCAGAAAGTGCCTTCAGGCTGTATTACCTCGTTAAGTTTTCGGACGTGTTCCTTTTTCCTAGTTGTACCTTACATTTATTTAATTCACTTATTACTGTTGCACTGCAAGGGAGCAGTAGGTGTGGGAGGGAGGCACAGGTCTCTGGCTGTAATCAGCAAACCAACTATTTGCCTACAAAGCTAATGCAGGATGTTTCTTATCTTGAGAGGAATAACACAGTGGGTTTTTTTTTTTTTTTTTTTTTGTGCAAGAAAACATTTCAATTCTAGCACAGCATATTAACTTCTAATTCTGTCAGGATCAAAAGAAAACCGTTCTTCAGGGCATATTTACTAATTTGTTATTATTTTGGCAGAGTTTTCCAACAGCTGCAAGAACCCCAGTTGTGCCCACCAGGAAGGTTATTTCAGCCACCGACATAGAGGGAGCTTTAGAGACGGTTTACTCTGATTCATCAACTAGCAATGCCTCCTACCCCCTCACCCTGTCTGCACAGCGGCAGCGGAAGCTGAGCTCCTGCAACCTGAAGAAATCCAGGTTTGGGAATCCTTGCTTTGGATTTTTAACCAGCTCCCCTGACAACAAGCACGTGAAGTCCTCGGATCCTCCAAGACACCTAGGGGCGCTGTCTCCAGTTAACAGTCAAAGCCCCCAAAATCTTCTGGAAGGTTCCAGCCCCTTGAAAATCAACTTGGTCAATGGTTCGAAAGCAAAGGAGCTCGTGGTAGATAAAGAAAAGAACAAGCCCGTTTTTGTTATTTCTGAAGAAGGGGATGATCAGCAGCCTCTGGTCCTAGCAGAACATCTTAGTCAATGCGGAGATCATCTGTGTGAGCAAAGCGCCACGTTTGCTCCAGCGAGAGCCGTGCCGGACAAACAGCCCGTGGTTCCGACTGCTGAGGGCGACGGTTCTCCTGGCTTCACATCGGATCCGCCTCTTTGGGCAAGAGCCCCGGGTTTACACAAAGGTGGCGTGAAGGCCCCTAGCGCTTCCAAGGACGAGCAGAGCTCGCCAGCTGCAGCTGCTACTGAGACCTCAGCTCACTTTGATGCTGTGGCTGCTCCCACATTATGTCCAGCTTCGGTCCAGTGATTTCTCAGAAAAACTAGTACCTTGGCTCATGAAACAGAGGCAACAGGCACATGGCTAAGTGGAGCTGTGTTGAGGAGTGGAGAGTGGCCATTTTAGATGGATGCAACTTTGGGCCTTGCTACCCACCAGTAGATTGGGATTGTGAGTGTACATAAWGTAGCACAGCACAAACACCCTCTTCCCTTATGCTCATTAACCTCAAATCTCTTCTCATGCATGGAGTTTATGTGGGATTTATACGGGAAAGCATCCTGTGAAGATACCGCACACGGTTGAACATCTTTTCTGGAATAAGAGTTTTAAGTGATTTGAGATGGTTAATTCATGGCTTTTATCTGAAATGTAAATCAGTCCCCTGCCACTGTGGTATCACTTAAGTCTCTCTGTTCAAAGATATGAGTTCAATTCCTGTAGGAATGCCTGTACAATTCAAACCTGGCCTAGCCGAGAGGGTAGAATTCAATCCTGCATGTTAGTGTACAGTTTTATAGACTTAATTTTAAACAGTTCATAATTTCTGTACTCTAGCACAAAGTTTACCAAGCATCAGCCTCTAACATTAAAGACCCTGATTATCTCAGATTGTGACTCCTTAGAAAACTGTACAGACAAGCTGAGCAACCCCAATACTGACCGTCAGTTCTATTAGGAAAGCGCGACAGTATTATCTTTGTTAGATATACACATAGGTTTAAAATTCCTCCGTCCACTGTGTGTTTCTTTTATTCCTCATGGCAACAGGAGCATGTGTACATAAAYACTGAAATACTCTCTAGGAGTTATCTTCAGCAGTCAACATTTTGATAACTGCAGCTGCTCTGATACTCTATCAGCCAGCTATTTATTGCTGGTAACGCACATTGACTAGTGAGCTATTTTTCCTTCCTTTAGCAGGCAAGACTTAAAAGGTAAAATAAAGTGGGGCAAACCTGAGTGCTCACGCTCTTTAAAAATGAGCTACTAAGTAGCTATGCCACCCTGATTACAAATCCAGGGAATTCAATGCAAGACTGAACCAAAGGGAAGCCTGCTAGTTTGACTGCCTCTAATAACTCAATCAGTATTTTAACTGCCTCCTGGTGATATTCTCCCATCTCTGCAAGCAATGCCTGCATACTCAATCCAGGATTTAGAATTATTTTGCTTTCTTAAATGACAGGAACTCTCTCTGGAGCTGTACTATCACAGCTGACATATGATATTGTTTTAAAGCAATAGTATGTCACAAAACAGGTGTCAGAAAAATCTTTCATACAAAGCTTYCCCATATTAGTTAGACTGTTCAAGAAAGTTATCTTAATCCTTCCATAAGGAGGCATTTAAGTCTGATTCCTGAAATATTTAAGTGAATTATTTCTGATCTCACCTGCTGTTTCAGCTTCCATCTGCCACCTGGTAATGCCTGAAATAGGCAGCACAAGATCGAAGGCTTTGCCTACCATTCTGTTTTGTGCTTACGTGTTGATGGAGACATAGAAGTCTTGCATCTTCTAATCGTGGAAGCAAACACATACATGTCTTCCAGCAGTTGACAAAACCAAACAGTAGACACAAGTCTCAGTGTTTATTGTTACCAGACTGTGCTTAGCAGCTTTCTGAAGCAGACAAAGTTTGGCTCCAAGTTGTTCTTCTTGTTGTTTTTAAATTAACATGACGTGATTCAAAGGCAAGAGTTAATATATTATGATTATAAAAATATATTTAGAAATTTGCAGTGCTCTAACTTCCACTATGTTAAATTCATACATATTTTAAAGCAGAGTCAGTGCTATCTTRCTTATTACTTTTCTAAAGATCACAGTACTAAATCTACTTTTGAAAAGCATTTGTGTTCAGTTAATGACAATAGCTACCTTTGAAGGGCTGAGAAAGTGTCCTTTCTTTTCAATAAAAGTGTGTTCAACTATTCATTTTTGCCACATAAAACAATTATTTTATTTTGCTGAAAGACTRAACATCATATCATATGGGCATCACATTATATTAGCACCAGGACATCAGGACTAGTAACTCCTTYGCTATCAGTTGCTGCAAAAAAAATTGAGGCTGAAAGCTGCTGCAACGTTCAGGCAAATACCCATCATTGAACCTCCTTCATTCCACCCTTGCAACCAGTCTAGAGGCAGGAGCAAAAAAGCCCCTATATCTCCATATATCTCCTGCTTCATTGCCTCTTAGTGACCAACGTAGGTAATGAGGTGGTTGTTTASACTGATTTCCCCTACTACCTATTTTTGCAACCAAAGAGGAGACTTTCTAACTGCTGCTAGAAGCTGGTGTCTGTGGGAGCTTGGTCTCCCTTTCACATATGCTTATTTTGGCACACCCAGCAAGGCTGTATGCCACTTTGCCAGTGCCTGCTGTATCAATAGACAGACATTTGTATCTGAGACACTACCCAGGACATTCAGCTATTGCCAGGAGACTGAACAATGCTGCTTACTCTCAGAATAGATGGGGTTAATTTACCAAGTTATTCGAAGATTATGTCTTATGCCCCCGAAAGAAAGAAAAACCTATGTGAAATAAGTAGCAGATAACCAAATTCTAATCACCAATGCTGGCTTTAATAAAGAAAACACCCTTCTTCTTGGGGAAGCCTAAGCAGCCAGGAGTACAGTGGGTGAGAGGCTCAAGAAGTCCTGACTTGTCTTCTGCACTATCTAATTCTGAACTATCTATTATCTACTTTTCCAGGCAGATCATTAACTGCTAACGAGGAATTCCTCATGGAATAAAGTGCTGTAATACAGACCAGGATTTGCTTAAAAACAGTAGTACTAAATATTACTTACAGCCTTTATTTTGTTCCCCGCAGCTGCATTGCTTTGGAGAGACGTGCTACCACTTTTTCTGACAGAAAAGGTCCCAGCTCACAGACGCTGGATACAGTTCTACCTTCACAGCAATGCAGGCAGTTTACTGTGCTATTTTGCATATGGTAACTAAGCAGCAAATGGGATAAGCATGCTAAGCACTTGCTGAAGAGGAGGAAAGTCATTTCAATCACAATTACATGGCAAAAATTATGGCTAGAAAATGTTTTGCTGACAAGCAGGAGTATTACTTTCAGTATAAGTGGATTTAATCAAATGTTTACTTTTTTTTTTTAATTTTTAGTTATTCTGGAACATATTAGGCACTCTCTCTAGGCAATGTATTAGATAGACCGAATAGGACATCAAAAACATTTGGGCAAGTCCTGTTCTGGTTGAAGACAGCTTGAAACTATAGAAGATGACAAGGAAGCTCTCTGCTAGTTTTCTTACTGACAAGTACTTAAAACTACCCAAGGGGAAAACCACGTGAAAAGTTGAACATACAACTAATGCATCTTAAGATGAAGAATTCAGTGCAGCATTCAGCAGGAATTTGGTTAAAGCAGAGTATTGTCTTTAGTTTAGGGAACAGCTAAGCTACCATCATGAGACTGATTAGGAAAAAAAGAGAGGAAAAAAAATTCTATTCATAACTTGCTAGCAGAAGCATGGACTGAGGTTTCCTTTCATACATTTGCCTTTAAAGAAAAGGTAGTCAGTTACAAAGCATCCTATTCTTAACTGTTTGTTCCCTCACATGAGACTCATGCCCAACAGTTACCTGGTAAATCCGAACAACTCACGATGAATTTGGATTTCAAGGGAAAACCAGAGGTCCCAGGCCAACACTTACCTAATGAAAGCAAGCAGGTGAAACTCAGCAGCACTGAAAAGAATACCCAGCAGAGACCAAAAATAACTTCCACATATATTCATGGTCTGTCTAGAAATGCCTTTGATGTTAAACCTCATATGGCATACTTAGTATTTTTTATAATTCATTTCCTGGGGAAGCTAATGAGCTTAAGAGTGAAATTACCTCACTGGAAGTCAAAATGAGGAAGTGTGAAGAAAGGAAGGATGACCTGAAAAGCAGATTTAGAAGCAATCTTTGCATATTAAGCATTGCTGTGGGAAATAGTGTAATTAGTTTTCTTCAGAAGTTATTCCCTAAAATTGTCTAAGTGGTATTTTGGCTCCCAAACATCATGCAAAAAGAACATTAGATAAAATAGGTGGAAAAAAAGCAGAAATCCCCACACTTTCTTCCTTTTAAAAAGAAATCCTTTCCCTAACTTTCAGTAGCACAGTAGTGACTGATGGTTTATTTTTAGAGTGCAGACTGTACAATATACAGCCCCTTTCTAGCAGAAGTAAGAAATCATAAAAAAAAAATATTTGGAGCGTAGTTTATTATGGGCCATTCTCTTTTCAAATGTCTAACGGTTCCCAGTTATGAATCACTCATTTCCGTAAGTTCCTGCAGTGGGCTAAATCATTTTAAGAACAGAAATTCTTACAAGATAAATATTCTTTTATTTGCAAAATAAACTAGCTAAAGACTGAGTGTAAATTGTGAGAGTTTCCATTAAATTCAAAGAAGGGCAGTATTAGAGCTTAAACACAAATTACCGTCTACAGCTGCTGATTCAAATACTTGAAACACAATGAGGGCTCTCAGATTAGCACTGACTGTTGCTGCTGCTATGTTGTCAACTATTCCATTTGCAAAAGACCAACTCTGCTTTGTTTTTCTCATAATCATGCACTTCTTCCATAAAGGATAAAAAAGAGGGTAAGCTCTAGGAAGCTTAAATTGTGCCAGACCCAATTACATGGTGTAAACCAAAATAAACCTTCTAAATTAGGTTAGTTACAAGCTATTTGGTGACATAATGGTTTATAAAACATTTAAATCCATCAATACAAATGCAAAGCAAGCCAGTACCATTTCAATTTTAAAGGTCTAAAGGTTTGTCTTTATAACTCAATGAACAACATTGTATTTTCGTTTTTATATTACTTTACTGTGAGTTTGAATTTCTCTTCAAAGCAGTTTGAAGAACAAGTGACAGCTGGCTTAGGAACAGCAGTATGGATTAACTATAATATTAAAAGAGCTCTATTTCAAACCGAAAGTGTGAGAATGGTAACAGTGCAAAAACAGCCTAGAATCTTCATCTGCAACTTAAAGTTTTAATCAACTGTGGCATAACTGACCTCAAAACTCAGACAGAATAGGGTTGGGACAAATCTTCCCATTTACTAAGCCRGGGCAAATTAACTCTCTGCTAGAGAGTTCTAATGGGAGCCATTTGAAATCCTCTAATTTATACAATTCATCTCACTGAAGATATATAACCTAAAAAGAATTTAACACAATATGATAGTCACTTTTTCTAGCCTGCTATTGCAAGAAATTAAAATGTTATCCTTTTTTAATAATAAAAAAGTATTTTTTTTTTAAATTAGCCTTTTGAAGCTCTTA